GTCTAGAGCTCCGACCACTTTAATTCGGCACGGCACACCCTCCAACACCCACACATTCCACCAACCAGCGCGCCCCTCCGCCCCGACACCTTTATTTCGGCATGGCACACCCCTCCGCCCAGATTCTTTTATTCCCGCACGGCACATCCCCTCCACTTTCCTTCCGCATCCCCCCCACCCACCAGCCAGCGCGCCCCTCCGCCCCGACCCCTTTTATTTCGGCACGGCACACCTCCCTGCCCCGACTTCTTTATTTCCGCACGGCACGCCCCCCTCCGCATCCCTCCCACTCACCAGCCGTTGCGTCCCTCCGCCCCGACCCCTCCGACTTCGCACGGCGCACACCCTCCGCCCCGACCCCTTTATTTCCGGCACGGCACACCGCCTCCAAAACCCCAAAACCAACACCAGCAAGCGCGCCCCTCCGCCCCGACCCTTTTTATTTCGGCATACGGCACACCAACACCCCCCGCACCTCCCAACATCCCACCAACCAGCGCGCCCCCTCCGCCCCGACCCCTTTATTTCGGCACGCCCTCCCCATCCCCCGCGCGCCCGCCAGCCAGCGCGTCCCTCCGTCTCGACCCTTGTATTTCGGCCCGTCCACTTTATTTCGGTACGGCACACCCCCTCCTCCGCATCCCCCCGCCCACCAGCCAGTGCGCCTCCCCCGCCTCGACTCATGTATTTCGGCACGCCCCCCCCTCCCCCTTGCACCCATCCACCCACCAGCCAGCGCACCCTTTCCGCCACGACTCTTTATTCGGTCACGCCCCCCCTCCCCCGCCGCGCCCCTCCGCCTCCGACCCCTTTGTTTCGGCGCGGCACACCCCTCCACCCCGACGCCTTTTATGTCGGCACGGCGCACCCCCTCCGCATCCCCCCCACCCACCGGCCAGCGAGCCCCTCCGCCCCGACCCCTTTTATTTCGACTTGGCACACCCCTCCGCCCCGACCCTTTTTTTCCGACACGGCACACCCCCGCATTCCCCATCGCCACCAGCCAGCGCGTCCTCCGCCCCCGACCCCTTTACCTCGGCACGGACCACCCCTCCGCCCCGACACATTTTTATTTCGGCCACGCACACCGCCTCCGGCATCCCCCCGACCTCACCAGCCAACGCGTCCCTCCGGCCCCGACCCCTTTATTTCGGCACGGCACACCCCTCCGCCCCGACCCCTTTATTTCGGCACGGCACACCCCCTTCGCATCCCCCCACCCGCCGGCCAGCGCTCCCCTCTGCCCCTTCGCCCCGACCTCTTTCCTTCGGCACGTCACACCCCTCCGCATCCCCCCACCCACCAGCCAGCGCGCCCCTCCGCCCCGACCCCTTGATTTCGGCACGACACACCTCCCCGCACCCCCCCACTTACCATCCAGGGAGCCCCCTCCGCCCCGCGACCCTTTATTTCGGCACGGCCCCCACTCCCTCCCCGCGCGCCCTGCGCGCCCCCTCCGCAGCCCCCCACCCACCAGCCATCGCGCCCCTCCGCCCCGACCCTGCATTGCGCCCCCACCCCACCCACCCACTCACAAGCCAGCGCGCCCCTCCGCCCCGACCCCTTTATTTCGGCGCGGCGCACCCCTCCGACCCGACTCCTATATTTCGGCGCGGCGCCGCCTCCTCCGCGAGCGCCCCTCCGCATCCCCCCCGCTCTTCAGCCAGCGCGCCCCTTCCGCCCCGACCCCTTTTGTTTTGGCGCGGCACCGCCCCCTCCGCCCTGAACCATTCATCTCGGCGCGGCGCCGCCCCCCCCCACCCCGAGCGCCCCCTCCGCGCCCCCCCATCCACCGGCCAGCGCGCCCCCCTCCGCCCCGACACCCCCATCCCGAACGCCCCCTCCATCACCCCATTCACCAGCCAGCGCGCCCCCTCCGCCTCCTCCCCCTTCCTTTTGTGCAAGAGCCATGGCCCGCGTGCCACTTGAATTAACTCCTTCGCCGAACTCCCGGGGGAACCTGGCCGACCGAACGACGCTGTGTACACATCAAGACCCTCATATCTCCCCAAATCTCCCCCCGATTCGACAAAACGGCTCCCGAGTGGTCTGGACCCCTTCCCTGGGACTGGCTTTTCATCCCAAGCTATTTTTGGGCGGTCACAGGGCTTAGTGAAGGCCTCTGGAGGCCGAAACTTGAAGAACAAACATGAACACAACAAAAACGTGTCGTGATTTTGGGCCAAGGGAGGACGCCAGTGTCCACATCGAACCGCATCACCGATGCACCGGCAATGCGGCGCGATCCTCCGACCCCATCACGCGCGCCCGAGAACCCCATCTGGGAGGCATTTGGAGGCCCCGCCAGCCCGAGCCGGGCGCGTCCTCTTCAGGTCCACGTCGAACACGTACTTCTCGCTCGAGCGCGTGTCGAAGCCGCTGGGGCCCCCCAGGGCCGCGGCAGGACTCGGGGGCTTCTCGTCAAGGCGAGGGCAGGATGAAGAGAAGGCGGCAGGAATGTGCCCCGAGACGATGGCTTCACAATAACTTCACGCCAGGCGATTGTGCCCTGTCTCGGGCTCCAGGGCCCTCACGGATCGACCCGGCTCGAGAAACGCCGCAGAAAGATGAGGCGGAGGGTTCCTGTTCTACTTTTTCTTCTTCTGGTTTTCTATGTTGCTCGCGACGTCGGATCTCAGGGTGAACAAGGGATCTCCGAGAGCTGGCGGACCTGGAGGATGCATCGGGCGCCGCGGCCGTTCCAGAGCGTTCTGGAACGCCCTGAGAGCGTTCCACAGCGCCCTGGGAGCGTCTCGTCTTCATCCCAGGTCTGCCCGATTCGCGGCACCTTCCTGCCGAGCGGGGGAGGGGGGGTGTTGGCGGTCGCTGGGACCAGCTCTCCTCTGCCCCAGCTTTCCGAAGCGGGAGCGGGGAGGCAGAGGAGGAGGAGGAGGAGGAGGAGGAGGAGGAGGAGGAGGAGGAGGAGGAGGACCAGTGCAAACCCAAGACTCATCAACAATGTTGACATAGACCCTCCCTCCAGGCTCCCTCTTGAAATGAACCCTACAAAGGCTCAAGTCAACTAAAAAAAAAACCGTTTGTGTGACAACCGTGTGAGAATCTTGAGGCGTGCCGAAACAACATCAGGACTTCGATGCCACGGGTCAACCAGACTGCTGCGTCGTGACGATCCTGAACAGTGCCAGAACACCATTCCTGTGACTTGAACACCGCGAATCAACGTAACTGTTGGGCCAATCGTGAATCGCCCCCAAACACAATTTCTGGTTCGGTAACCATGATAAAAAAAAAAAAAAAACGAAACCCTTGCGAATGTTTGAAACGAATGTGCTCGGCGCTAAGGCGAGAGCCGCATTTTGAAAAGGAACCACCCTCGAGCCGTGAAGCTCTTGCAAATGTTTGAAACGAATGTGCGCGGCGCCGAGGCGACGCGCGGCGATGAGGGCCAATGCCACGTTTTGAAAACCACCCGCCCTCAATCCGTGAAGCTCTCTCTTACAACGAATGCACGCGGCGCTGAGGCGAAAACTATATTTGGAAAACGACTCGCCCTCAGTCCGTGAAGCTCTGGCAGCTTTTAAGCGTCAAACTTCTACGTGGTAAGGAAGTCTGCAGCGAAACGCCCAGCCGGCCTTTCCCACAGGCCTCGGGGTGCGACGAAGAGCAGTTAATCAGAATCAAGAACAAAAGAACAGAGGGGGGAACAGGAGGAAAAGGAGGAGGAGGAGGACGACGACGACGAGGAGGAAGACCCCACCTCCTCTGCAGCCGTTCCTGATCCTGGGGACGGGGGGGCAGCTTCGGGATACCGAGCATGGCGAACATCTCGTGTTTTGATCTCCGGCCCGCTGGCGGGTACGGTCGTCGTGCTACCATCAGGAACTGAAGGGCCCTGGGACACACAAATAAATAGACACAAGTACAAGGATTCCCAATATTTCCCCATACTTTCTGGGTTTTTGTCTTAACCCCACTTGCCATAGCTTCCCATATTTACGGGGGAATCGTCGATTCATTGTGTCTGTGCGTTTTCCGCTCCTGGCCGCGTGAGGCCCCGCCTGCTCTCGCCCCCTCTCCGCCAATTAAAGCTGTGCGCGTCCCGCGGAGCTTCTAGCGGAAGAGGCTCGCTCTCGCCCTGCAGATCAAAAAAAGTGTCTGTGTGTCTTCTGCCCTCCTGAGGAACGCCGATGCAAGAGCACGGGGGGGGGGGGCTCTTCTGGCCACGGCGGGCCTGGGCCACCCACGAAGAGATTCCCCCCAACCTGGGCCTGCGGAGCGGCCCCCGGGCGCCAGGCTCTCCTCCCGACCCCCGGGGCGGTCCTTACCTCAGCGTCTCGACTGTGCCGCGCCGTGCGCCACGTGGCGCTCTCGCGCCCAGCGCTCTGTGATGCAACAGCGCCGCGCGCTGCACGGCGGGGCCACGCCGCGCGCCGTGCAGGCGCGCTCCCTTCCGCACTCGACTGGCAATCGGCCGTTGCAAACATCGCTGGCGGCACCACCGACGTTGCAGCCGACGCGCACGCTAGCCCAAGACCCGCTGGCGGCGTTCCTCCCTTACGTCGCGCGGGGACTTGGCAAGGCCGAGCGCGTGCGTCATCTTCATGCAGTGTTTCCGGTAGATCTACTGGACCTCTCAAGAACTCACGAAAGAGAGGACAAAATCGCAGTTCGCAGCCACCCAGGGAGCCGCGAGGTCTCGGCTGTGTGCGTACAGCTCCACTCTGCTGGACCTCCCAGAAGCCTACAAAACTGGCGATAGTGGCGAAGTTCACAGCCACCCAGGAGGCCGTGAGGCCCGGCCTGGGTGGCGCAAGACGCAACCACTCTGGGAGCTGCGAGGCCCCGCCTGGATCCGCGTACAGTTCCACTCCGCTGAACCTCCAAGGACTCCACGAGAGTGGCAACAATTGCGCAGTTCGCAGCCATCCAGGGAGCCGCGAGGCCTCGTCATGATGCGCGTGAGACTAACTCCACTCTGCTGGACATCCCAGGAGCCCGTGAAAGTGGAGACAATGGCGCAAAACGCAGACACCCAGGGAGCCGCGAGGCCTCGTCTGGATCTGCGTATGCCCAATAGTGGCGCAGTTGGCAGCCACCCAGGGAGCCGCGAGGCCTCGTCTGGATGCGCGTGTACTGCACTCCGCTGGACCTCCCGGGAACCCGCGAAAGTGGTGACAGTTGCGCAGATGGCAGCCCCCGAGGGGGCCAAGAGGAGGAGGAAGAGGAGGAGGAGGAGGAGGAGGAGGAGGAGGAGGAGGAGGAGGGGGAGGAGGAGGAGGAGGAAGAGGAGGTCTTTGGACAAGAACTCAACACGAGAGGGTAACTTAGAGGGTAACTTACCATCTCGTGTTGAGTTCTTGTCCAAACCCTGATCCCGGAAACGGAGCAAAAGCTGCTCCGGGATAGGAAAGGGAAACGGAAGCTGCCTGGGCGGGGCGGGCGGCTCGCGGCAGCGCAGCGGGGCTACCCGGAACTTGCCGCCCCAGGAGATCGCGGCCACGACGGAGGGGTTGTTCGGGTCCGTCTGCAGCGCCATCCACTCTCCCGCCTGGGCCGGCCGAGGCGTGCCCACGCAGCACCCCCTCCACCCCCCCCTCCTCGGCCTCCCCCCCCTCCCTCTGCTCCTCCCTTGCTCCCCCGCTCTCGTCTCTTATGTCCCCTCTCTCTCTCTCTCCCTTCCCCCTCCTCCCCCCCTCCTCCGGCGTCCTCGTCCTTCCCTCCTCTGCCCCCTGCCCCCCCCGGCCGGTTCCGTCCTCTCCCTCCCCTCCACCCCCCATCCTCCCTCCTCCCTGCTCCTGGCTCCCAACTCGCTGCTCCTTCCTCGCCCTATCCTCGCCCGCCCCTCCCAGGCTCCCTCAGCCGACCCCTGGCCATCGCTCGGGCGTCCATTCCCTGAGCTTTTTGTTCGGTTTCGCGCGTGGATTTTTCGCCACATGATCAAGGATGCTCCTCAAGGGTCCTCGCCGAGAAAAAAATACACACGTCCGAGCGATGCCAGGACCCTCCTCTATTCTCTGCAGGCCGAATCCTGCTGCGACGAGCGCCGAAACCACACATCCTCGCGCGCCCGTCCAAGCTCTTCCCCTGCCTCCCCCCCTCTCCTTGCTCTGGGATCGCTCCTCCCTGATCTATCCTCCCTCACGCCTCCCTGCCTGCATCCCCCCCCCTCTCCAACGCCCTCGCTGGTATCCATTCTGCCTTCTCTCCTCTCCTGTGCCCATTACCCCCCTTCCTGCACAATATTTATGTTACCTCCACTTCTTCTTCTTCCTCCTCCTCCTCCTCCTCCTCCGCCTCCTCCATCTCCTCCATCTCCTCCTCATCCTCCTCATCCTCATCCTCATCCTCCTCCTCCTCCTCCCTGCCCTCCTCCCTGATCTCTGCTCTTGTTTCCCTCCTCCATCCTCAGTGCTCATTTTTGCCTGTCCCTCTCCCCCCCATGCCCTTCTTCCCGCCAACGTTTTATCCCACTCCTATCCTATCCCCAATCTTCTCCTTCCTGGATGTCCTTTCCCCTCCTCCCGAATTAATCCTCCCAGAAACCCCTCTTATCTTGACCCCCTCATCTTCCGCATCCTTTTCCTCCGTTTCGTTATCATCCTGCTCATCTTCCCCGTTCTCTGCTTGGGTGCCCGGTGTGGCCCACGAACGCTCCTCCATCTCCTTCTCTGGATCGTAGAGCCGCATGGCGGGATTCTCCTGAAGAGGAGCCCGCACCGGGAGGGAAGAGGGGGGATAATCATGCAACACCGCCGTGACGACAAGCGCGATGAGGCGGCAGGAAGGAACAGGAAAGTAAACATATGTCATCCGGCTTCGCGCTCTCGTGCCGCCCTGCATGCAGTCGGGCAGACTCTCTAGCCTAGGCCGCAACGCGCGAAGGGCGGTCATCTCCCCTCCCCCCCTGCGGGTGACCCAGCTGAGGGAACAGGGAGGGACAGAAGGATGCGGAAAGCCAGGTTGTTCCCTTCCTCCTCCTCCTCCTCCTCCTCCTCCTCCTCCTTCCTCCTCCTCCTCCTCCTCCTCCTCTGCTCCTGCTCCTGCTCCTGCTCCTGCTCCTCTCCTCCTCCTCCTCCTCCTCCTCCTCCTCCTCCTCCTCCTCCTCTTCATCCTCCTCCTCCTCCTCCTCCCCAGACGTCATCCACTACGCCCTTTTCACAGCATGGCTCCCGGGAGACCTGGACACCTGCCCGAGAACTGGCAGCTCGGCCTGCGTCTTTTTATTGGCGATCCCCTGGCGGCCGGAAGTACGGACAAATCCTCCGCCGCGACTTCACACGCAACGGGAGGATGCCGCTTGGATCGGCGCGGGCCTTGCGGAAGGGTTTTGGGGGGGGTATGAAGGGATGCTAAGGTGGATTTTGTAGCTGGCCCAGTGTCGATTGTAAACGGGGCTGCGGAGCCAAAAGCGGCTGATGAAGGGCGGCCACGATCTGGGCAAAGGGGGCTCCGCCCACTTGGCGGAGTTATCCGTTACCCCCTTATCCCCTGAACATCCCCCCCGCCGATTCAAGCAGGGTTCCCCCCGAAAGGAAGACGTAACTGCACAAACATGAACTGTTTGAGGTCCGCGCAGAATTCTTGGATCTGCGCTGAACCGCCCTCCCTGGCGCGCGGGCTCCCAGCGCCGATCCAACAAATCCGAGCGGACCGTCGAACATGTTTGTTTATGCAGTTATTATTATTACTATTAATATTGTAACTATTATTAGTATTATCATCATCATTCTTCTTCTTATTATTCTTATCATTATTATTATGGTTATTATTCGACACCTCGCAAGTGGAGGCCGTGGCCGCGATGACGATAAGCAGCACAAGTGCCCATAATCCTTTTGGAGCGGACCTAAGTTAGGAGGGCCAGAAAAATCACGGATAAAGGGGGTTGGTTCTCTTCTTTGCAGATGGGTCAGACGAAACCACCCCGATGCCCAGGGACAGCCCTCAAGCCCGTGGACCCAAGTGAGGCCACGAACTCACGGTGTCAATGGGGATACCAAAAGGTACCGCTACTCCCCGGACCTCTCCTGGGGTGCGTTCTGACCAGAGTTTCGGGGCGAATCCAACGGTGACGACGAGGGCCTCCGAGGAGGCCCGAAACGGGGAAAACGAGGAAATGGCAGAGGGACGGGTACCTTGTCTTTCTGTGAGTTAGTAGGCTCAGGGGCTGTATGCTGCTTCGTGAGAGGAGCGGCGCGCCGCCGGCCCACGCGAAGGAGGTGGTGGAGGAGGAGGATGGGGAGGGAAAGGAGAAGGAGGGAACGAAGAAGGAGGAGGAGGAGGAGGAGGAGAGGAAGAATAATAAGAAGAAGAATAATCAGAAGAAGAAGGAGAGAAACAAACACTCAGGAGGAGGAAAAGGATAAGGAGCAGGAGCAGGAGGAGGAGGAGAAGGAGAAGGACGAGGAGGAGGAGGCGGACGAGGAGAAGGAGGAGGAGGAGGAGGAGGAGGAGGAGGATGAAGAGGAGGAGGAGGAGGAGGAGAAGAGGAGGAGGAGGAGGGGAGGAGGGGGAGGAGGAGGAGGAGGAGGAGGAGGAGGAGGAGGAGGAGGAGGAGGAGGAGGAGGAGGAGGCGGAGGAGGAGAGGACGAGGAGGAGGACGAGAGGAGGAGGAGGAGGAGGACGAGGAGGACGAGCAGGACGA